TCCCTTCATCTTACCCTTTTGTCTGAGGTGAAAACATGCTCCTAAGAAATGAGACGCCACTGGATTCCTGATAATTCATCGTACCTTATCGTTTGCAGTGAATTTGTTTCCAGAGTCTGACATCAGTGTAGCAATCAATAGCTATAGCTTCATTAGCTAGCTTATCGTAACATGCAAGTTTAAAATACAAACAATTACAAACACACATAATATTTATGTGAAGTTGCAAAGGATCTGATTAAAAAACAAACAAACAAAAAAAACAACACAAGTGTCATTACTATGACTCGAGTGGCTAACCCTTACCCTTTGCTTGACGTGAACGTGCAAAACCGAGGGCTAAGGGGTTTAACTGGGACTGGCCCAAAGTGTTTTAACATTAAAGCGAAATCTGATGTTGGAGGCTGGAAATGTGCTACTTTAAGAAAGTTACTGTATGAGGTTGTGAAAGGGTAATTCATTCAGGCCGACAGCAAACCACAGGAAATAAAAATGCCATTCAATGTGGAAAAACCTCAACAGCTGTTTAGGGGATTGTATTATTACAACATACATACATTATTCTGTGTGTTTATGAAAAGCATTATGATAACAACCCTTTTAGGTGTTTGTTTTGCTTTGTAATTTTGCTGAGTGAATTGCTTCCTTAAGGTATAAATCCAATTTGCATGCTGTAAAAGTTGCTTGGCACCATGTTTATTACTTGAAATCAGGAATAGTTTCGCAACACTATTCCCACAAATTGAATTCATTATAAACGACTGAGGAGGATCAAACAAAATGTGTTATCCTTAACAAAAACTGCTCAGCTCTATATATAAATATCATGCTTTGAGATTTATAACATTTTAGGGTGAGTATTAAGGCCCCAATGTCTACTCCAGTGTATTTCTATCCTATAGTATCTCATCCAGCCCTCTTGGAGAAACAGAATCAGCTGTGAGGCGAAAGACAGAAATAGAGAGACGACATTCAAACACCTCACAGCAGGATGCTGCTTCGTCAACCTTTACAGTGAAAGCCATTTCTTGGAGGAGGAGGATTCAGTTGCTGGGGTGTTGGGGTAGCAAATGAACAGCTAATATAAGAGAGAGAAAGAGGCAGGAAAACAGAGTAGTGATGAAGAAAAGAGGTAGAGAAATAGTGTTGTGCTAAACAAGGATGGAAAAGACCAAGAGATTTTAAGTAAAATGTTATGACACAGGGGAAATTGACACCAAACTGCTTCGCGAGGTTTTCTAGGAGAGAGGTGAATGCTTCACTGAGAGAAAAAGTGAGAGGTGAGTGGACGTAGATGAAATGTGAAAGACTGAATGAAAGCGGGCGGTGTGGAACAAGAGTAAAACAGAAAGAGGAGTGGAGACGGATAGCTGGGAAGTGATAAGGAGGCAGTAAGCAGTGCAGCCAGGCATAGCTCCGAGGCCAGGAATTGGTAGTAAACATTTAGTGAGGCTGAGATGGGAGTCCAAGGGACTTTTGAACAGTAGATTGTCTCCTCTCTCTTCGTTTGAGCTGCTCACTGAGCTGCCCTGTGCATTTTGAGGGAGTCATCTGCCAAATTGGATCGATAAGTAATTAACACTTTGGCTCTTTGCTGGCAAGTTCTCTTCCCTCCGTTTTCCCATATTCAGCCTCTCTGCACCGGCTTGCAGACAGCAACACAGACCAACACTTTCTCACACAACTTCGAACTCACATGAAACACAGACTAGATGAGAGACAGAGAGAAGAGAGAAGAGGAGTGGGGTGGGGGTGAGGGTGTTCACCAATGCACAAATTTACACACACTTTACTTCTCGGGCTTCTGCTGTGCTCATGGGGGTTGAGAGAGCAGACAGCGTAGGTATCGATTCCTGCTGTCCTGGAACAGGCTCTCTGTTCCATCTGAATACACACTGACTCAGACTCTCTCACTCTGCCTGTCCTTCAGTCCCGCATGGCTCTCCTGTGTCACAGACACGCAGATTACACCCCACCCCTGCAGTCTCACCCCCACTGCCGTTTGGTTGTTCCCACTTTTTTTGTGACATTTGCCACCTGTTAGTGTCAGCTGGATACCCTGAGGACAAAGTGGCAGCCATTTACACAGGTATCAACACCTTGTAAAAGCAAAGTGAGACAACAGAAGAGTTGTGATGTTCAGTTTTTGGGTGTATAGGAAAAGAGGTTGGATCGTGAGAAGGTAGGGGAGGTAGGGTGTGAGTCAAAACAGGAAAAAAAAGTGTCAGTGAAAGGGAAAAGGCAGAGACAGAGAGGGAAAGGCAACCAACAGAGTGACAGAGACACAGACAGAAGAGGAAGAAAGACAGGGGAGCGAGAGATAACAACAGCCCAGGGCCAAGTAGAGGATTGATGTTTGAGGATTCAGTGCAGAGCCCAGTCATCAATCCTATTGGCTGATCAGATGTATGACTGAATTATTGATAAGTGAACCTCATCAATAATTGCAGCACTGCTTCTTTTGGGCCACAAACCAAAGCAATGGAAGGATTTCGAGCTGCCTCAGCAAGAGAAAACACACAGCCATAACATGCATGCTTAAATAAAAGAATTCAGGGGAAGAAAAAAAACAAACTTGAAAGCCCTGAGGTCATCGGAGTCACAATGAGCCTGTGTTTGTTAAAACATGGAAAGACTGCCAGACACATTCAGAATGCACAGCCACGGTTCATGTTGAATTCATATTGAACCTAGTTGCTCCTTTCACCTCATCTTCAGGGCACAGACCCCGTGACAGCAATGATGCTCTGTTTCACACTACATTGTACTGTATAATTTTCACCTTGACAGAATGTGCCAGTGGTATATTGCTCCATTTTCCCTCTATACAAAGGGAAGGCATTTCCAAACAGTGTATCATTTTTCTATGAAAAATCCCATCATGCACCATTGTGTGACAGGCTGCTAGCAATCTTTTTGAGAGGTTGGGAGTCTTTCCGTAAGAAAAAAAATCTAGTGCTTTTAGAACCTAAATAAAACTTTTTTGTTTTCTTTAGAACTAAAAACACATTAAAGTACATGAGAAGTGACATGTTAAGCTAAAGCAGTGAGACCTCACAACAAGAGTATTTTTAGTGAATTAATGCTCAGTCAATGTTAAAGCAATCTATGGCTCATGATAAATGTGTTTAAATTCATGTGAAAAGCATCATCAAGTTTTACTTTAAAATAATGAGGTGGGGAAACAGATTTATATCATCTGGTTTTAACATTAAAAAGTCAATTTTTTTGTCAGTTGAATCAAATCTTACTGTCTGACTTGAACATTTTGAATCTATAATATTTAGAGTTATAACAGAACTGTTAAGATACAAATTAACTTTTATGAAATTATGATGAAAGTTTGTAGAGTGGAAGATTAGTGGAGGAGAAGCGATGGGAATAAACTGGGGGAATCTGAGAAAAAGTGGAGTAGGCATGAAGCTATAGGGGGATGACATGACCATACCTCTTCCACCTCTTTTTTTTTCTTCCTCCTCTAATCTTATTTTCTCAAACTCAGCAGTTTCCTTTCTTTTTCAACTCTGAGGAAATGAATCAAAACTTGCTCAGACTATTTTACCTGCCACAGAAGCATGGCATTTTATGGTCTGAGCCTGGGACAGTTGCACTTGCACAAACTTACATAGATTTACCTTAACATATTGTTGTACACACTCTTGGCAAGTCTTATGATGGACATAGAGTTCATTCAAAATATTCTCTCTCGTAAGAAAACTCACTCAGTTTACACCCTAGGGAAACTGATGTAAGCCTTTTCTGTCTGGTCAATGACTTTCCTTTGTACCGTCATCAGTTGAAAGTACCACTTTAAAGCGTTGAATTTGTGTGTGCTTTTTTTAGACCATTCATCACGTTTCATGGTGAGTTGTATGTACAGGTGTGATTGTCTGCCAGTGTCCCTCAACACATCCATGTAAATCTGTGTGTGTATGTGCGCGCGTGTGTGCACATGCACAATTGTTGGCAGCCAGGTGCATTACCTTGTCAGACTGTGGAGCCTGGCTCATATCTTACCTCTAACAGCCAGATAGGAAAACCACTCTGCTTTTGATTTGAGGCAAGAAAAGTGGTTTAGCACACCTCTCTCATATATCTCACCGTCTCCTTCTCCCCTTTTCCTCCACACTCCCTTTTTATTTTTATTTGTCAATTTCCCCTAATCCTGGCTGGGCAGTCAGTAGGGTTGGAATCAGACATACCTATAGTACAGGCACCATGTCAACTTACCAGTAAAATATGAAGTACTGTGGCAAAAAAATAAAAAATAAATAAAATAAAAAATAAAAACTTTCTGGATCCCTACCATTACCTTTATGTCCAAATAGCAAAAATAAGTGCAAAATAACTAATAGAATATTGTCAGAGAATAAACAATGGAAGACAAGCTTCTTTTTGTATTTGCCCTGACGACAGTTTCCTCTGAATTTAAAAATATGTCTTCTCATGTTTGACATTTAACAATTGAGAAATCCTTTATTCCACAACATCACTCTGATGCCATGGCAGGTACCTCTGAATTACTGCACTGTGGTCTTCCTGTCAAAAGTGGTCTTATCTGATAGGATTCAACGTAGCCCTCACCGTAAAACCTTTTCCGAGTCATTTGCTTTGTTTCAGTATATAGATGGGTGAATAACTTAGCCATGCAACAGTCCGTTGGGTAGGCAGTCAAACGCTCTCCCAACTGAGCTATTTCGGCACTGGAAGAGTTTGACCATAGTTTAAGTGAAAGACCAAGAAGAACCCTATTTTGAATAGCATAACTTTGACTTGACTGGCCATAATGTTGCAGGTTGACCATTGCCTTGATTGTTTTTTATAACCTCCAAAAGCAATTCACTGAAGTATTGATCTGTTGCCTTTAAAAATAAAGACATTGTGAACTGGTTGTAAAATTGTCTTTGAGTTCTAAGCGGGATGCAGTTGTGAACGGAGCATGCTGGGTCAGGTCGGAAGAGTTGACAGTAGTTGTTTGAAGGCAATGAGGGAGTAAGTTGGTTTTCCACTAAATTGCCGAACCCTGGGATTGAACCAGGGACCTTAAGATCAACAGTCTAACGCTCTCCCAACTGAGCTGTTTCGGCTCTGGAAGAGTTCGACCGTAGTTTAAGCGAAAGACCGAGAAGAAACATATTTTGAATAGGATACCTTTGAATTGAGAAAAGCTGATCATGCCTTGAGCCACGAGGGAGTTACTCGGTTTCCCATCATTGCTGAAACCCGGGACTGAACCAGGGACCTTTAGATCTTCAGTCTAACGCTCTCCCAACTGAGCTATTTCGGCTCTGGAATACATCGACCGTAGTTTAAGGAAAAGACCAAAATGAAACGTATTTTCAATAGCATACCTTTGAATTGAATGGGAAAATTGTTGGTGATGCCTTGAGATACGAGGGAGTAAGTTGGGTTGCCACTTAATTGCTGGCACCCGGTATTGAACCAGTGACCCTTAGATCTTCAGTCTAAGGCTCTCCCAACTGAGCTATTTCAGCTCTGGAACAGGTCGACCATAGTTTAACGAAAAGACCGAAATGAAACGTTTTTTTCAATAGCATACCTTTGAATTGAAGTGGGAAAAAGTTGATCATGCCTTGAGCCGAGAAGGAGTTACTATGTTTTCCCCTCATTGCCGAAACCCAGGATTGAACCAGGGACCTTTAGATCTTCAGTCTAACGCTCTCCCAACTGAGCTATTTTGGCTCTGGAACAGTTCGACCGTAGTTTAAGGAAAAGACCGAAATGAAACGTATTTTCAATAGCATACCTTTGAATTGAAGTGGGAAAAAGTTGATCATGCCTTGAGCCACGAGGGAGTTGAAGAGTTTTGCACTTAATTGCAGAAACCCGGGATTGAACCAGGGACCTTTGGATCTTCAGTCTAACGCTCTCCCAACTGAGCTATTTCGGCTCTGGAACAGGTCTACCGTAGTTTAATTAAAAGACCGAAATGAAACGTATTTTCAATAGCATAGCTTTGAATTGAATGGGGAAAATGTTGATCATGCCTTGAGCCACGAGTGAGTTACTCGGTTATCCACTTAATTGCCGAACCCCGAGATTGAAACAGGGACCTTTAGATCTTCAGTCTAACGCTCTCCCAACTGAGCTATTTCGGCTCTGGAATAGATTGACCGTAGTTTAAAGAAAAGACCAAAATGAAACGTATTTTCAATAGCATAGCTTTGAATTGAATGGGGAAAATGTTGATCATGCCTTGAGCCACGAGGGACTTACTCGGTTATCCACTTGATTGCCGAAACCCGGGATTGAACCAGGGACCTTTAGATCTTCAGTCTAACGCTCTCCCAACTGAGCTATTTCGGCTGTGGAACAAGTCGACCGTAGTTTAATTAAAAGAGCGAGAAGAAACATATTTTGAATAGCAAAGCTTTGAATTGAATGGGGAGAATGTTGGTCATGCCTTGAGCCATGAGGGAGTTACTCGGTTATCCACTTAATTGCCGAAACCGGGTATTGAACCAGGGATCTTTAGATCTTCAGTCTAACGCTCTACCAACTGAGCTATTTCGGCTCTGGAAATTTGACTGTAGTTTAAGGAAAAGACCAGAAATGAAACGTATTTTCAATAGCATAGCTTTGAATTGAATGGGGAGAATGTTGGTCATACGTTGATGTACGAGGGAGTTACTCGAATATCCACTTGATTGCCAATACCCTGGGTTGAACCAGGGACCTTTAGATCTTCAGTCTAACGCTCTCCCAACTGAGCTATTTCGGCTCTGGAACAGTTCGACCATAGTTTATACGAAAGAGCAAGAAGAAACATATTTTGAATAGCATACCTTTGAATTGAAGTGGGAAAAGCTGATCATGCCTTGAGCCACGAGGGAGTTACTCGGTTTCCCCTCATTGCTGAAACCCGGGATTGAACCAGGGACCTTTAGATCTTCAGTCTAACGCTCTCCCAACTGAGCTATTTCGGCTCTGGAATAGGTCTACCGTAGTTTAACGAAAAGACCGAAATGAAACGTATTTTCAATAGCATACCTTTGAATTGAAGTGGGAAAATGTTGATCATGTCTTGAGCCACGAGGGAGTTACTCGGTTATCCACTTGATTGCCGAAACCCGGGATTGAACCAGGGACCTTTAGATCTTCAGTCTAACGCTCTCCCAACTGAGCTATTTCGGCTCTGGAACAGTTCGACCGTAGTTTAAGGAAAAGACCCAAATGAAACGTATTTTCAATAGCATAGCTTTGAATTGAATGGGGAAAATGTTGATCATGACTTGATCCACAAGGGAGTTACTCGGTTATCCACTTGATTGCCGAAACCCGGGATTGAACCAGGGACCTTTAGATCTTCAGTCTAACGCTCTCCCAACTGAGCTATTTCGGCTGTGGAATAGATCAGCCGTAGTTTAAGGAAAAGACCAAAATGAAACGTATTTTCAATAGCATAGCTTTGAATTGAATGGGGAAAATGTTGATCATACTTGATCCACGAGGGAGTTACTCGGTTATCCACTTGATTGCCGAAACCCGGGATTGAACCAGGGACCTTTAGATCTTCAGTCTAACGCTCTCCCAACTGAGCTATTTCGGCTCTGGAACAGTTCGACCGTAGTTTAATTAAAAGAGCGAGAAGAAACATATTTTGAATAGCAAAGCTTTGAATTGAATGGGGAGAATGTTGGTCATGCCTTGAGCCATGAGGTAGTTACTCGGTTATCCACTTAATTGCCGAAACCGGGTATTGAACCAGGGATCTTTAGATCTTCAGTCTAACTCTCTACCAACTGAGCTATTTCGACTCTGAATTTGACTGTAGTATAAGGAAAAGACAGAAATGAAACGTATTTTCAATAGCATAGCTTTGAATTGAATGGGGAAAATGTTGATCATGCCTTGATGTACGAGGGAGTTACTCGAATATCCACTTGATTGCCGATACCCTGGGTTGAACCAGGGACCTTTAGATCTTCAGTCTAACGCTCTCCCAACTGAGCTATTTCGGCTCTGCAACAGTTCGACCATAGTTTATACGAAAGAGCAAGAAGAAACATATTTTGAATAGGATACCTTTGAATTGAGAAAAGCTGATCATGCCTTGAGCCACGAGGGAGTTACTCGGTTTCCCCTCATTGCTGAAACCCGGGATTGAACCAGGGACCTTTAGATCTTCAGTCTAACGCTCTCCCAACTGAGCTATTTCGGCTCTTGATTAGGTCTACCGTAGTTTAACGAAAAGACCGAAATGAAACGTATTTTCAATAGCATACCTTTGAATTGAAGTGGGAAAAAGCAGATCATGCCTTGAGCCACAGGGAGTTACTCGGTTTTGCACTTGATTGCTGAAACCCGGGATTGAACCAGGGACCTTTAGATCTTCAGTCTAACGCTCTCCCAACTGAGCTATTTCGGCTCTGGAATAGTTCGACCGTAGTTTAAGGAAAAGACCCAAATGAAACGTATTTTCAATAGCATAGCTTTGAATTGAATGGGGAAAATGTTGATCATGACTTGATCCACAAGGGAGTTACTCGGTTATCCACTTGATTGCCGAAACCCGGGATTGAACCAGGGACCTTTAGATCTTCAGTCTAACGCTCTCCCAACTGAGCTATTTCGGCTGTGGAATAGATCAGCCGTAGTTTAAGGAAAAGACCAAAATGAAACGTATTTTCAATAGCATAGCTTTGAATTGAATGGGGAAAATGTTGATCATGACTTGATCCACGAGGGAGTTACTCGGTTATCCACTTGATTGCCGAAACCCGGGATTGAACCAGGGACCTTTAGATCTTCAGTCTAACGCTCTCCCAACTGAGCTATTTCGGCTGTGGAACAGTTCGACCGTAGTTTATAAAAGAGCGAGAAGAAACATATTTTGAATAGCATAGCTTTGAATTGAATGGGGAAAATGTTGGATCATGCCTTGAGCCAGAGGGAGTTACTCGGTTATCCACTTGATTGCCGAAACCCGGGATTGAACCAGGGACCTTTAGATCTTCAGTCTAACGCTCTCCCAACTGAGCTATTTCGGCTCTGGAATAGATTGACCGTAGTTTAAGGAAAAGACCAAAATGAAACGTATTTTCAATAGCATAGCTTTGAATTGAATGGGGAAAATGTTGATCATGCCTTGATGTACGAGGGAGTTACTTGGTTATCCACTTGATTGCCGAAACCCGGGATTGAACCAGGGACCTTTAGATCTTCAGTCTAACGCTCTCCCAACTGAGCTATTTCGGCTCTGGAACAGTTCGACCATAGTTTATACGAAAGAGCAAGAAGAAACATATTTTGAATAGCATACCTTTGAATTGAAGTGGGAAAAGCTGATCATGCCTTGAGCCACGAGGGAGTTACTCGGTTTCCCATCATTGCTGAAACCCGGGATTGAACCAGGGACCTTTAGATCTTCAGTCTAACGCTCTCCCAACTGAGCTATTTCGGCTCTTGATTAGGTCTACCGTAGTTTAACGAAAAGACCGAAATGAAACGTATTTTCAATAGCATACCTTTGAATTGAAGTGGGAAAAAGCAGATCATGCCTTGAGCCACAGGGAGTTACTCGGTTTTGCACTTGATTGCTGAAACCCGGGATTGAACCAGGGACCTTTAGATCTTCAGTCTAACACTCTCCTAACTGAGCTATTTCGGCTCTGGAACAGTTCGACCGTAGTTTAAGGAAAAGACCCAAATGAAACGTATTTTCAATAGCATAGCTTTGAATTGAATGGGGAAAATGTTGATCATGCCTTGAGCCACGAGGGAGTTACTCGGTTATCTACTTGATTGCCGAAACCCGGGATTGAACCAGGGACCTTTAGATCTTCAGTCTAACGCTCTCCCAACTGAGCTATTTCGGCTGTGAAACGGTGCGACCGTAGTTTAAGGAAAAGTCCAAAATGAAACGTATTTTCAATAGCATAGCTTTGAATTGAATGGGGAAAATGTTGATCATGCCTTGAGCCACGAGGGAGTTACTCGGTTATCCACTTGATTGCCGAAACCCGGGATTGAACCAGGGACCTTTAGATCTTCAGTCTAACGCTCTCCCAACTGAGCTATTTCGGCTGTGGAACAGTTCGACCGTAGTTTAATTAAAAGAGCGAGAAGAAACATATTTTGAATAGCAAAGCTTTGAATTGAATGGGGAGAATGTTGGTCATGCCTTGAGCCATGAGGTAGTTACTCGGTTATCCACTTAATTGCCGAAACCGGGTATTGAACCAGGGATCTTTAGATCTTCAGTCTAACTCTCTACCAACTGAGCTATTTCGACTCTGAATTTGACTGTAGTATAAGGAAAAGACAGAAATGAAACGTATTTTCAATAGCATAGCTTTGAATTGAATGGGGAAAATGTTGATCATGCCTTGATGTACGAGGGAGTTACTCGATTATCCACTTGATTGCCGAAACCCTGGATTGAACCAGGGACCTTTAGATCTTCAGTCTAACGCTCTCCCAACTGAGCTATTTCGGCTCTGGAACAGTTCGACCATAGTTTATACGAAAGAGCAAGAAGAAACATATTTTGAATAGCATACCTTTGAATTGAAGTGGGAAAAGCTGATCATGCCTTGAGCCACGAGGGAGTTACTCGGTTTCCCCTCATTGCTGAAACCCGGGATTGAACCAGGGACCTTTAGATCTTCAGTCTAACGCTCTTCCAACTGAGCTATTTCGGCTCTGGAACAGGTCTACCGTAGTTTAATTAAAAGACCGAAATGAAACGTATTTTCAATAGCATAGCTTTGAATTGAATGGGGAAAATGTTGATCATGCCTTGAGCCACGAGTGAGTTACTCGGTTATCCACTTAATTGCCGAAATCCGGGATTGAACCAGGAACCTTTAGATCTTCAGTCTAACGCTCTCCCAACTGAGCTATTTCGGCTCTGGAACAGTACGACCATAGTTTATACGAAAGAGCGAGAAGAAACATATTTTGAATAGCAAAGCTTGGAATTGAATGGGGAGAATGTTGGTCATACCTTGAGCCATGAGGGAGTTACTCGGTTATCCACTTAATTGCAGAAACCGGGTATTGAACCAGGGATCTTTAGATCTTCAGTCTAACGCTCTACCAACTGAGCTATTTTGACTCTGAGTTTCACTGTAGTATAAGGAAAAGACCGAAATGAAACGTATTTTCAATGGCATAGCTTTGAATTGCATGGGGAAAATGTTGATCATGCCTTGAGCCACAAGTGATTTACTATGTTTTCCCCTCATTGCCTAAACCCGGGATTGAACCAGGGACCTTTAGATCTTCAGTCTAACGCTCTCCCAACTGAGCTATTTCGACTCTGGAACAGTACGACCATAGTTTATACGAAAGAGCGAGAAGAAACATATTTTGAATAGCAAAGCTTTGAATTGAATGGGGAAAATGTTGATCATGCCTTGAGCCACGAGGGAGTTACTCGGTTATCCAGTTGATTGCCGAAACCCGGGATTGAACAAGGGACCTTTAGATCTTCAGTCTAACGGTCTCCCAACTGAGCTATTTCGGCTGTGAAACAGTGCGACCGTAGTTTAAGGAAAAGTCCAAAATGAAACGTATTTTCAATAGCATAGCTTTGAATTGAATGGGGAAAATGTTGATCATGCCTTGAGCCACGAGGGAGTTACTCGGTTATCCACTTGATTGCCGAAACCCGGGATTGAACCAGGGACCTTTAGATCTTCAGTCTAACGCTCTCCCAACTGAGCTATTTCGGTTCTGGAACAGCTCGACCATAGTTTATACGAAAGAGCGAGAAGAAACATATTTTGAATAGCATACCTTTGAATTGAAGTGGGAAAAAGCGGATCATGCCTTGAGCCACAGGGAGTTACTCGGTTATCCACTTGATTGCCGAAACCCGGGATTGAACGAGGGACCTTTAGATCTTCAGTCTAACGCTCTCCCAACTGAGCTATTTCGGCTCTGGAATAGATTGACCGTAGTTTAAAGAAAAGACCAAAATGAAACGTATTTTCAATAGCATAGCTTTGAATTGAATGGGGAAAATGTTGGTCATGCCTTGAGCCACGAGGGAGTTACTCAGTTATCCAGTTGATTGCCGAAACCCGGGATTGAACCAGGGACCTTTAGATCTTCAGTCTAACGCTCTCCCAACTGAGCTATTTCGGCTCTGCAACAGTACGACCATAGTTTATATGAAAGAGCGAGAAGAAACATATTTTGAATAGCAAAGCTTGGAATTGAATGGGGAGAATGTTGGTCATACCTTGAGCCATGAGGGAGTTACTCGGTTATCCACTTAATTGCCGAAACCGGGTATTGAACCAGGGATCTTTAGATCTTCAGTCTAACGGTCTCCCAACTGAGCTATTTCGGCTCTGGAAGAGTTCGATTGTAGTTTATACGATAGACCAAGAAGAAACATAAATTCAATAGCAAAGCTTTGAATTGAATGGGGAAAATGTTGATCATGCCTTGAGCCACGAGGGAGTTACTCGGTTATCCAGTTGATTGCCGAAACCCGGGATTGAACCAGGGACCTTTAGATCTTCAGTCTAACGGTCTCCTAACTGAGCTATTTCGGCTCTGGAACAGGTCTACCGTAGTTTAATTAAAAGTCCAAAATGAAACGTATTTTCAATAGCATAGCTTTGAATTGAATGGGGAAAATGTTGATCATGCCTTGAGCCACGAGGGAGTTACTCGGTTATCCACTTGATTGCCGAAACCCGGGATTGAACCAGGGACTTTTAGATCTTCAGTCTAAGGCTCTCCCAACTGAGCTATTTCGGCTCAGGAACAGTTTGACCATAGTTTATACGAAAGAGCGAGAAGAAACATATTTTGAATAGCATACCTTTGAATTGAAGTGGGAAAAAGCGGATCATGCCTTGAGCCACAGGGAGTTACTCGGTTATCCACTTGATTGCCGAAACCCGGGATTGAACCAGGGACCTTTAGATCTTCAGTCTAACGCTCTCCCAACTGAGCTATTTCGGCTCTGCAATGCATCGACCGTAGTTTATACGAAAGAGCGAGAAGAAACATATTTTGGATAGCATACCTTTGAATTGAAGTGGGAAAAAGCGGATCATGCCTTGAGCCACAGGGAGTTACTCGGTCATCCACTTGATTGCCGAAACCCGGGATTGAACCAGGGACCTTTAGATCTTCAGTCTAACGCTCTCCCAACTGAGCTATTTCGGCTCTGGAATAGATTGACCGTAGTTTAAGGAAAAGACCAAAATGAAACGTATTTTCAATAGCATAGCTTTGAATTGAATGGGGAAAATGTTGATCATGCCTTGAGCCACAGGGAGTTACTCGGTTATCCACTTGATTGCCGAAACCCGGGATTGAACCAGGGACCTTTAGATCTTCAGTCTAACGCTCTCCCAACTGAGCTATTTCGGCTGTGCAAAAGTTCGACCGTAGTTTAATTAAAAGAGCGAGAAGAAACATATTTTGAATAGCAAAGCTTTGAATTGAATGGGGAGAATGTTGATCATGCCTTGAGCCATGAGGGAGTTACTCGGTTATCCACTTAACTGCCGAAACCGGGTATTGAACCAGGGATCTTTAGATCTTCAGTCTAACTATCTACCAACTGAGCTATTTCGACTCTGAATTTGACCGTAGTTTAAGGAAAAGACCCAAATGAAACGTATTTTCAAAAGCAAAGGTTTGAATTGAATGGGGAAAATGTTGATCATGCCTTGATCCCCGAGGGAGTTACTTGGTTATCCACTTGATTGCCGAAACCCGGGATTGAACCAGGGACCTTTAGATTTTCAGTCTAACGCTCTCCCAACTGAGCTATTTCGGCTCTGGAATAGTTCGACCGTAGTTTAAGGAAAAGACCGAAATGAAACGTATTTTCAATAGCATAGCTTTGAATTGAATGGGGAAAATGTTGATCATGCCTTGATGTACGAGGGAGTTACTCGATTATCCACTTGATTGCCGAAACCCTGGATTGAACCAGGGACCTTTAGATCTTCAGTCTAACGCTCTCCCAACTGAGCTATTTCGGCTGTGGAACAGTTCGACCGTAGTTCAAGGAAAAGACGAAAATAAAACGCATTTTCAATAGCATAGCTTTGAATTGAATGGGGAAAATGTTGATCATACGTTGATCCACGAGGGAGTTACTTGGTTATCCACTTGATTGCCGAAACCCGGGACTGAACCAGGGACCTTTAGATCTTCAGTCTAACGCTCTCCCAACTGAGCTATTTCGGCTCTGGAATACATCGACCGTAGTTTAAGGAAAAGACCAAAATGAAACGTATTTTCAATAGCATAGCTTTGAATTGAATGGGGAAAATGTTGATCATGGCTTGATGTACGAGGGAGTTACTCGAATATCCACTTGATTGCCGATACCCTGGGTTGAACCAGGGACCTTTAGATCTTCAGTCTAACGCTCTCCCAACTGAGCTATGTCGGCTCTGGAACAGTTCAACCATAGTTTATACGAAAGAGCGAGAAGAAACATATTTTGAATAGCATACCTTTGAATTGAAGTGGGAAAAAGCGGATCATGCCTTGAGCCACAGGGAGTTGATGGGTTTTGCATTTAATTGCCGAAACCCGGGATTGAACCAGGGACCTTTAGATCTTCAGTCTAACGCTCTCGCCAACTGAGCTATTTCGGCTCTGGAAGAATTCGACCATAGTTTATACGAAAGAGCGAGAAGAAACATATTTTGAATAGAATACCTTTGAATTGAAGTGGGAAAAAGCGGATCATGCCTTGAGCCACAGGGAGTTGATCGGTTTTGAACTTAATTGCCGAAACCCGGGATTGAACCAGGGACCTTTAGATCTTCAGTCTAACGCTCTCCCAACTGAGCTATTTCGGCTGTGGAATAGATCAACCGTAGTTTAAGGAAAAGACCCAAATGAAACGTATTTTCAATAGCATATCTTTGAATTCAATGGGGAAAATGTTGATCATTCCTTGATCTACGAGGGAGTTACTCGGTTATCCACTTGATTTCAGAAACCCGGGATTGAACAAGGAACCTTTAGATCTTCAGTCTAACGCTCTCCCAACTGAGCTATTTCGGCTGTGGAATAGATCAGCCGTAGTTTAAGGAAAAGACCAAAATGAAACGTATTTTCAATAGCATAGCTTTGAATTGAATGGGGAAAATGTTGATCATGTCTTGATCCACGAGGGAGTTACTCGGTTATCCACTTGATTGCCGATACCCTGGGTTGAACCAGGGACCTTTAGATCTTCAGACTAACGCTCTCCCAACTGAGCTATTTCGGCTCTGGAACAGTTCGACCGTAGTTCAAGGAAAAGACCAAAATGAAACGTATTTTCAATAGCATAGCTTTGAATTGAATGGGGAAAATGTTGATCATACGTTGATCCACGAGGGAGTTACTCGGTTATCCACTTGATTGCCGAAACCCGGGATTGAACCAGGGACCTTTAGATCTTCAGTCTAACGCTCTCCCAACTGAGCTATTTCGGCTCTGGAATAGGTCTACCGTAGTTTAACGAAAAGACCGAAATGAAACGTATTTTCAATAGCATAGCTTTGAATTGAATGGGGAAAATGTTGATCATGCCTTGAGCCACGAGGGAGTTACTCGGTTATTCACTTGATTGCTGAAACCCGGGATTGAACCAGGGACCTTTAGATCTTCATTCTAACGCTCTCCCAACTGAGCTATTTCGGCTCTGGAACAGTTCGACCATAGTTTATACGAAAGAGCAAGAAGAAACATATTTTGAATAGCATACCTTTGAATTGAAGTGGGAAAAGCTGATCATGCCTTGAGCCACGAGGGAGTTACTCGGTTTCCCCTCATTGCCGAAACCCGGGATTGAACCAGGGATCTTTAGATCTTCAGTTTAACATTCTCCCAACTGAGCTATTTCGGCTCTGGAATAGGTATACTGTAGTTTAACGAAAAGACCGAAATGAAACGTATTTTCAATAGCATAGGTTTGAATTGAATGGGGAAAATGTTGATCATGTGTTGAGCCACGAGGGAGTTACTCGGTTATCCACTTGATTGCCGAAACCCGGGATTGAACCAGGGACTTTTAGATCTTCAGTCTAACGCTCTCCCAACTGAACTATTTCGGCTCTGGAACAATTCGACCATAGTTTATACGAAAGAGCGAGAAGAAACATATTTTGAATAGCATAACTTTGAATTGAAGTGGGAAAAAGCAGATCAAGCCTTGAGCCACAGGGAGTTGATCGGTTTTGTACTTAATTGCCGAAACCCGGGATTGAACCAGGGACCTTTAGATCTTCAGTCTAACGCTCTCCCAACTGAGCTATTTCGGCTCTGGAACAATTCGACCATAGTTTATACGAAAGAGCAAGAAGAAACATATTTTGAATAGCATACCTTTGAATTGAAGTGGGAAAAAGCGGATCATGCCTTGAGCCACAGGGAGTTGATCGGTTTTGCACTTAATTGCGGAAACCCGGGATTGAACCAGGGATCTTTAGATCTTCAGTTTACATTCTCCCAACTGAGCTATTTCGGCTCTGGTATAGGTCTACTGTAGTTTAACAAAAGACTGAAATGAAACGTATTTTCAATAGCATAGCTTTGAATTGAATGGGGAAAATGTTGATCATGTCTTGAGCCACGAGGGAGTTACTCGGTTATCCACTTGATTGCCGAAACCCGGGATTGAACCAGGGACTTTTAGATCTTCAGTCTAACGCTCTCCCAACTGAGCTATTTCGGCTCTGGAACAGTTCGACCATAGTTTATACGAAAGAGCGAGAAGAAACATATTTTGAATAGCATACCTTTGAATTGAAGTGGGAAAAAGCGGATCATGCCTTGAGCCACAGGGAGTTACTCGGTTATCCACTTGATTGCCGAAATCCGGGATTGAACCAAGGAGCTTTAGATCTTCAGTCTAACGCTCTCGCCAACTGAGCTATTTCGGCTCTGGAAGAATTCGACCATAGTTTATACGAAAGAGCGAGAAGAAACATATTTTGAATAGCATACCTTTGAATTGAAGTGGGAAAAAGCGGATCATGCCTTGAGCCACAGGGAGTTGATGGGTTTTGCATTTAATTGCCGAAACCCGGGATTGAACCAGGGACCTTTAGATCTTCAGTCTAACGCTCTCCCAACTGAGCTATTTCGGCTCAGGAATAGATCAACCGTAGTTTAAGGAAAAGACCCAAATGAAACGTATTTTCAATAGCATAGCTTTGAATTCAATGGGGAAAATGTTGATCATTCCTTGAACTACGAGGGAGTTACTCGGTTATCCACTTGATTTCCGAATCCCGGGATTGAACCAGGAACTTTTGGATCTTCAGTCTAACGCTCTCCCAACTGAGCTATTTCGGCTCTGGAATACATCGACCGTAGTTTAAGGAAAGGACCAAAATGAAACGTATTTTCAATAGCATAGCTTTGAATTGAATGGGGAAAATGTTGATCATGCCTTGATGTACGAGTGAGTTACTCGATTATCCACTTGATTGCCGAAACCCTGGATTGAACCAGGGACCTTTAGATCTTCAGTCTAACGCTCTCCCAACTGAGCCATTTCGGCTCTGGAACAGTTCGACCGTAGTTCAAGGAAAAGACCAAAATGAAACGTATTTTCAATAGCATAGCTTTGAATTGAATGGGGAAAATGTTGATCATGACTTGATCCACGAGGGAGTTACTCGGTTATCCACTTGATTGCCGAAACCCGGGATTGAACCAGGGACCTTTAGATCTTCAGTCTAACGCTCTCCCAACTGAGCTATTTCGGCTCTGGAATAGGTCTACCGTAGTTTAACGAAAAGACCGAAATGAAACGTATTTTCAATAGCATACCTTTGAATTGAATGGGGAAAATGTTGATCATGCCTTGAGCCACGAGGGAGTTACTCGGTTATCCACTTGATTGCCGAAACCCGGGATTGAACGAGGGACCTTTAGATCTTCATTCTAATGCTCTCCCAACTGAGCTATTTCGGCTCTGGAACAGTTCGACCGTAGTTTATACGAAAGAGCGAGAACATATTTTGAATAGCATAGCTTTGAATTGAAGTGGGAAAAGCTGATCATGCCTTGAGCCACGAGGGAGTTACTCGGTTTCCCCTCATTGCCGAAACCCGGGATTGAACCAGGGATCTTTAGATCTTCAGTTTACATTGTCCCAACTGAGCTATTTCGGCTCTGGTATAGGTCTACTGTAGTTTAACAAAAGACTGAAATGAAACGTATTTTCAATAGCATAGCTTTGAATTGAATGGGGAAAATGTTGATCATGTCTTGAGCCACGAGGGAGTTACTCGGTTATCCACTTGATTGCCAAAACCCGGGATTGAACAAGGGACCTTTAGATCTTCAGTCTAACGCTGTCCCAACTGAGCTATTTCGGCTCTGGAACAGTTCGACCATAGTTTATACGAAAGAGCGAGAAGAAACATATTTTGAATAGCATACCTTTGAATTGAAGTGGGAAAAAGCGGATCATGCCTTGAGCCACAGGGAGTTACTCGGTTATCCACTTGATTGCCGAAATCCGGGATTGAACCAAGGAGCTTTAGATCTTCAGTCTAACGCTCTCGCCAACTGAGCTATTTCGGCTCTGGAAGAATTCGACCATAGTTTATACGAAAGAGCGAGAAGAAACATATTTTGAATAGCATACCTTTGAATTGAAGTGGGAAAAAGCGGATCATGCCTTGAGCCACAGGGAGTTGATCAGTTTTGCACTTAATTGCCGAAACCCGGGATTGAACCAGGGACCTTTAGATCTTCAGTCTAACGCTCTCCCAACTGAGCTATTTCGGCTCTGGAATAGAACGACCGTAGTTTAAGGAAAAGACCCAAATGAAACGTTTTTTCAATAGCATAGCTTTGAATTCAATGGGGAAAATGTTGATCATTCCTTGATCTACGAGGGAGTTACTCGGTTATCCACTTGAATTCTGAAACCCGGGATTGAACCAGGAACCTTTGGATCTTCAGTCTAACGCTCTCCCAACTGAGCTATTTCGGCTCTGGAATACATCAACCGTAGTTTAAGGAAAAGACCAAAATGAAACGTATTTTCAATAGAATAGCTTTGAATTGAATGGGGAAAATGTTGATCATGCCTTGAGCCACGAGGGAGTTACTCGAATATCCACTTGATTGCCGATACCCTGGGTTGAACCAGGGACCTTTAGATCTTCAGTCTAACGCTCTCCCAACTGAGCTATTTCGGCTCTGGAACAGTTCGACCGTAGTTCAAGGAAAAGACCAAAATGAAACGTATTTTCAATAGCATAGCTTTGAATTGAATGGGGAAAATGTTGATCATGCCATGATCCACGAGGGAGTTACTCAGTTATCCACTTGATTGCCGAAACCCGGGATTGAACCAGGGACCTTTAGATCTTCAGTCTAACGCTCTCCCAACTGAGCTATTTCGGCTCTGGAATAGGTCTACCGTAGTTAAACGAAAAGACCGAAATGAAACGTATTTTCAATAGCATAGCTTTGAATTGAATGGGGAAAATGTTGATCATGCCTTGAGCCACGAGGGAGTTACTCGGTTATCCACTTGTTTGCCGAAACCCGGGATTGAACGAGGGACCTTTAGATCTTCATTCTAACGCTCTCCCAACTGAGCTATTTAGGCTCTGGAACAGTTCGACCATAGTTTATACGAAAGAGCGAGAAGAAACATATTTTGAATAGCATAGCTTTGAATTGAAGTGGGAAAAGCTGATAAGGCCTTGAGCCACGAGGGAGTTACTCGGTTTCCCCTCATTGCCGAAACCCGGGATTGAACGAGGGACCTTTAGATCTTCATTCTAACGCTCTCCCAACTGAGCTATTTAGGCTCTGGAACAGGTCGACCATAGTTTATACGAAAGAGCGAGAAGAAACATATTTTGAATAGCATAGCTTTGAATTGAAGTGGGAAAAGCTGATCATGCCTTGAGCCATGAGGGAGTTACTCGGTTTCCCCTCATTGCCGAAACCCGGGATTGAACCAGGGATCTTTAGATCTTCAGTTTAACACTCTCCCAACTGAGCTATTTCGGCTCTGGAATAGGTCTACTGTAGTTTAACGAAAAGACTGAAATGAAACGTATTTTCAATAGCAAAGGTTTGAATTGAATGGGGAAAATGTTGATCATGTCTTGAGCCACGAGGGAGTTACTCGGTTATCCACTTGATTGCCGAAACTCGGGATTGAACCAGGGACCTTTAGATCTTCAGTCTAACGCTGTCCCAACTGAGCTATTTCGGCTCTGGAACAGTTCGACCATAGTTTATACGAAAGAGCGAGAAGAAACATATTTTGAATAGCATACCTTTGAATTGAAGTGGGAAAAAGCGGATCATGCCTTGAGCCACAGGGAGTTACTCGGTTATCCACTTGATTGCCGAAACCCGGGATTGAACCAGGGACCTTTAGATCTTCAGTCTAACGCTCTCCCAACTGAGCTATTTCGGCTCTGGAACAGTTCGACCATAGTTTATACGAAAGAGCAAGAAGAAACATATTTTGAATAGCATACCTTTGAATTGAAGTGGGAAAAGCTGATCATGCCTTGAGCCACAGGGAGTTGATGGGTTTTGCATTTAATTGCCGAAACCCGGGATTGAACCAGGGACCTTTAGATCTTCAGTCTAACGCTCTCCCAACTGAGCTATTTCGGCTCTGGAATAGATTGACCGTAGTTTAAGGAAAAGACCCAAATGAAACGTTTTTCAATAGCATAGCTTTGAATTCAATGGGGAAAATGTTGATCATTCCTTGATCTACGAGGGAGTTACTCGGTTATCCACTTGATTTCCGAAACCCGGGATTGAACCAGGAACCTTTGGATCTTCAGTCTAACGCTCTGCCAACTGAGTTATTTCGGCTGTGGAATACATCGACCGTAGTTTAAGGAAAAGACCAAAATGAAACGTATTTTCAATAGCATAGCTTTGAATTGAATGGGGAAAATGTTGATCATGCCTTGATGTACGAGTGAGTTACTCGATTATCCACTTGATTGCCGAAACCCGGGATTGAACCAGGGACCTTTAGATCTTCAGTCTAACGCTCTCCCAACTGAGCCATTTCGGCTCTGGAATAGTTCGACCGTAGTTCAAGGAAAAGACCAAAATGAAACGTATTTTCAATAGCATAGCTTTGAATTGAATGGGGAAAATGTTGATCATGACTTGATCCACGAGGGAGTTACTCGGTTATCCACTTGATTGCCGAAACCCGGGATTGAACCAGGGACCTTTAGATCTTCAGTCTAACGCTCTCCCAACTGAGCTATTTCAGCTCTGGAATAGGTCTACCGTAGTTTAATGAAAAGACCGAAATGAAACGTATTTTCAATAGCATAGCTTTGAATTGAATGGGGAAAATGTTGATCATGACTTGATCCACAAGGGAGTTACTCGGTTATCCACTTGATTGCCGAAACCCGGGATTGAACCAGGGACCTTTAGATCTTCAGTCTAACGCTCTCCCAACTGAGCTATTTCGGCTCTGGAATAGGTCTACCGTAGTTTAAGGAAAAGACCGAAATGAAACGTATTTTCAATAGCATAGCTTTGAATTGAATGGGGAAAATGTTGATCATGCCTTGAGCCACGAGGGAGTTACTCGGTTTCCCCTCATTGCCGAAACCCGGGATTGAACGAGGGACCTTTAGATCTTCATTCTAACGCTCTCCCAACTGAGCTATTTAGGCTCTGGAACAGGTCGACCATAGTTTATACGAAAGAGCGAGAAGAAACATATTTTGAATAGCATAGCTTTGAATTGAAGTGGGAAAAGCTGATCATGCCTTGAGCCACGAGGGAGTTACTCGGTTTCCCCTCATTGCCGAAACCCGGGATTGAACCAGGGATCTTTAGAACTTCAGTTTAACACTCTCCCAACTGAGCTATTTCGGCTCTGGAATAGGTCTACTGTAGTTTAACGAAAAGACTGAAATGAAACGTATTTTCAATAGCAAAGGTTTGAATTGAATGGGGAAAATGTTGATCATGTCTTGAGCCACGAGGGAGTTACTCGGTTATCCACTTGATTGCCGAAACTCGGGATTGAACCAGGGACCTTTAGATCTTCAGTCTAACGCTGTCCCAACTGAGCTATTTCGGCTCTGGAACAGTTCGACCATAGTTTATACGAAAGAGCGAGAAGAAACATATTTTGAATAGCATACCTTTGAATTGAAGTGGGAAAAAGCGGATCATGCCTTGAGCCACAGGGAGTTACTCGGTTATCCACTTGATTGCCGAAACCCGGGATTGAACCAGGGACCTTTAGATCTTCAGTCTAACGCTCTCCCAACTGAGCTATTTCGGCTCTGGAACAATTCGACCATAGTTTATACGAAAGAGCAAGAAGAAACATATTTTGAATAGCATACCTTTGAATTGAAGTGGGAAAAAGCGGATCATGCCTTGAGCCACAGGGAGTTGATCGGTTTTGCACTTAATTGCGGAAACCCGGGATTGAACCAGGGACCTTTAGATCTTCAGTCTAACGCTCTCCCAACTGAGCTATTTCGGCTCTGGAATAGATTGACCGTAGTTTAAGGAAAAGACCCAAATGAAACGTTTTTTCAATAGCATAGCTTTGAATTCAATGGGGAAAATGTTGATCATTCCTTGATCTACGAGGGAGTTACTCGGTTATCCACTTGATTTCCGAAACCCGGGATTGAACCAGGAACCTTTGGATCTTCAGTCTAACGCTCTGCCAACTGAGTTATTTCGGCTGTGGAATACATCGACCGTAGTTTAAGGAAAAGACCAAAATGAAACGTATTTTCAATAGCATAGCTTTGAATTGAATGGGGAAAATGTTGATCATGCCTTGATGTACGAGTGAGTTACTCGATTATCCACTTGATTGCCGAAACCCGGGATTGAACCAGGGACCTTTAGATCTTCAGTCTAACGCTCTCCCAACTGAGCTATTTCGGCTCTGGAATAGATCAACCGTAGTTTAAGGAAAAGACCAAAATGAAACGTATTTTCAATAGCATAGCTTTGAATTGAATGGGGAAAATGTTGATCATGACTTGATCCACGAGGGAGTTACTCGGTTATCCACTTGATTGCCGAAACCCGGGATTGAACCAGGGACCTTTAGATCTTCAGTCTAACGCTCTCCCAACTGAGCTATTTCGGCTCTGGAATAGGTCTACCGTAGTTTAATGAAAAGACCGAAATGAAACGTATTTTCAATAGCATAGCTTTGAATTGAATGGGGAAAATGTTGATCATGCCTTGAGCCACGAGGGAGTTACTTGGTTATCCACTTGATTGCCGAAACTCGGGATTGAACGAGGGACCTTTAGATCTTTATTCTAACGCTCTCCCAACTGAGCTATTTCGGCTCTGGAATAGGTCTACCGTAGTTTAATGAAAAGACCGAAATGAAACGTATTTTCAATAGCATAGCTTTGAATTGAATGGGGAAAATGTTGATCATGCCTTGAGCCACGAGGGAGTTACTCGGTTTCCCCTCATTGCCGAAACCCGGGATTGAACGAGGGACCTTTAGATCTTTATTCTAACGCTCTCCCAACTGAGCTATTTCGGCTCTGGAACAGTTCGACCATAGTTTATACGAAAGAGCGAGAAGAAACATATTTTGAATAGCATAGCTTTGAATTGAAGTGGGAAAAGCTGATCATGCCTTGAGCCACGAGGGAGTTACTTGGTTATCCACTTGATTGCCGAAACCCGGGATTGAACCAGGGACCTTTAGATCTTCAGTTTAACACTCTCCCAACTGAGCTATTTCTGCTCTGGAATAGATCTACCGTAGTTTGACGAAAAGACCGAAATGAAACGTATTTTCAATAGCATAGCTTTGAATTGAATGGGGAAAATGTTGATCATGTCTTGAGCCACGAGGGAGTTACTCAGTTATCCACTTGATTGCCGAAACCCGGGATTGAACCAGGGACCTTTAGATCTTCAGTCTAACGCTCTCCCAACTGAGCTATTTCGGCTCTGGAACAGTACGACCATAGTTTATACGAAAGAGCGAGAAGAAACATATTTTGAATGGTAAAGCTTTGAATTGAAAGGGGAAAATGTTGATCATGCCTTGAGCCACGAGGGAGTTACTCTGTTTTCGCCCCATTGCCGAAACCCGGGATTGAACCAGGGACCTTTAGATCTTCAGTCTAACGCTCTCCCAACTGAGCTATTTCGGCTCCCGATCGGTTCGACGGTAGTTTACACGAAAGACCGAGAAGAAATGTATTTTCAATAGCATAGGTTTGAATTGAATGGGGAAAATGTCGACCATGCTTTGAGCCACGAGTGAGTTACTAGGTTTTCCACTTGATTGCCGAAACCCGGGATTGAACCAGGGACCTTCAGATCTTCAGTCTAACGCTCTCCCAACTGAGCTATTTCGGCTCTAGTTTTGACCGTAGTATAAGGAAAAGACCCAAATGAAACTTTTTTTTTCAATGGCATAGCTTTTATGTTTTACACATTGAGTCAAAAAACACTTTTTCATGTCATCCATCTGCATTCAAATTTAGATATTTTTAACAAATGGTTATGTACCCTCTTTGCAAACTTTTATGCCCTGTAAAGTTAGGTTGACAGCATGAAAGTTGTTGAATTAGCAAATGTTTAAAATTAGCGACTCCAATTGTGCTGGTACATTTTCATGAATATTTTTTTAATTCATGCAATTGCAACGTGACTCATGGAGACTTGAATAAATGTGGATGCTTGCACCATATTCTGGTTATAAACACCCAGAACACTCAGTAATTATTTCCCAGCCTGAATATTAACTCCCTTCTTGTGTAACCATGAATAAAGATTATTTTATTGGCCAGGAATAGTGGTTGTTTGATTGGTTGGGAATGGTGATACCGTCGCCAATGTGGTTAATTGCTGTTCTGAAATCATTTTAATAAGAACAAATGCCCTTGGTGGGTCCTCTTAATTTCTTTCTCTCTTCCTCAATCTCTCTCAAGCAAAGGCAGTGACTGAGAGAGGGGAAGAGATTGAAGTGTTACCATTAATGAGATATTAAAATGTCCCACTTTCTAATTAATCTCACTGATTACATGCAACTGTCACTGGATGGCAAGGCAGTCTAAGTCTCTTTGCATGTCAGTGTACTGAAGGACAGGCATGGAAAATAAGGAGCTTCTCCTCTGGGATTCGTGCTAGACATTCTGTTACTGTTATAAACAGCTAATATATGCATGAAGTATACATTAAAGATTAGACCAGCATTTCAGATATACATTAGTGTGCTTAATTAGACAATTGATAGCCAGTCTATAAAAGTGACATGATAGTCCCACTCGGTTGGCTGTTTAACTGATGTTTGTTTTTTCAGAATTATCTTTCATGTGGTCTCACATGAACATGTGAACTCCCTTTATTTACCCCATTTTATCTGAATGTGTGGCAAATATTGTTGCCAGTGTGTACATATATGGTGTCTACCATCGACAGGGAAATCTGACATAGCCTGATGTCCACATTATTGGTGTCTCAGCTTGGCTCCCTAGGTTTTTGGCTAGTAGAAACACCATAGCAGTTTGGTGTTTCTGTGCATGTAACAAAATGTAACAGTTAAGCTGTTTTGGCGTGCAGTTATTGGAAGATATAACAGAAAGAAAAATCTAGTAATGTAGAAAAGACAATGGTCTGTTAATGATGGGGAGAAAACAATACTTTTATGTTCTGAGGTGAGTAATGGTAAGCATTGCAGGATGTTTCAGCACATCACTAGACGTGGAATTGTCTCATTGGCCTGCACTGAGTGCTGGGGTGTTGTTTACATTCAGTTCAGCCAAACACAGTTGCCTGTGTTTATTCCATACAGTTTGAGGTGTACAAGGGCTCTCTTTGCTTGAAATATCCTTGAGTTTAATTTTAGTGTGTGCTAGCCATGGCAATGAATTGACATCTGACATAGATCAGGATGTGTAAGAATTCTGTTGTCAAATGGCACAGATCTCTGATATAACTGGTAAAACAATAAAATCAAATTAATAAACAAAATTAATACAAAAAATCACTGCAGCTACACTAAACTGTAGGAACTGCAATTGGCTTCTCCAAACAAGGACTGAACTGACTGCCATTCATTTTTTAGTAATCTTCAAAAGCCCAAACTATTCCTCAAGATCACATGAAACCTTGAATGAGAACAGGTCAATTCTCTCTAAATTTACTTGTCAGAGAAAATTATGTTTTACCTGCAAACAGCTTTATTCTCGTGTCACAATAAACATCCTAGAATATCAGTATGTATACAAAATTAGTCTCTTTTTCTCTTTATTTTGTGTCATGGTTCATCATAATCAGTACTATGGAAGGCTTAAGTCATGAGGTGAATTTGGCTCTAAGTGATGAAATTAATCATATTACCAAGGAGTATAATGACATACAAACACTATATTCACATAATAAGCCAAGTGATGTATGTTTGGTGATCTCATTCAGTAATGAAGACTGTGTTTATCTGTCACTACATGATAATGGGCACTGAAAGAAAATTATACCATTCATCACTTGAATTACTATGACATTGATATTGATATTGTGTGTCTTCATGCATTCCTGTTCGACTTGAGTCTTTATTGGATTAATCTAAGTGGTGCCTTCAAAGGCCATTGCAATATACTGCAGCTTCCTGGTTTTCAGAATACACCAACGGTTGTCATTATCAAAATGTTGAAATCTGGTCTTTCATGAACCACTTAATCCTTGACAAGCTTCTGAAGAGTATTTTCTTCTGTGCTTTGGCTCAAATATATCACATACATCTGGGCTTCTGTTTGTAGCATGCATTTTGGTCCAAACTCAATGCCGTGGATAAACATTTCAGGCTCTCAGTGGGAACCAGCCTCTATCTCACCACGCTCCCTGGGTTTTTGGAGATTGATCAGCATCAGTCTGCCTGACAGCTCCAGTACTAAATCTCATTTAGCAAACCTGACAATTTGAGACTGAATGCAGGCAGGAAGGGAGAGAGAGAAAGATCATGTTCAGGGAAGATTGGGTAAAGAGTATAAGGAAGACAAAAGACAGCATGGAAAGGGGGAGAAGTGCATGATAAGTCTAAAGACCTGTCTGACTCGTCCTTCAACCTTCAAACTTTATATAAGCTGGAGCCCTGTAGCACTTTATAAAAAAAAAAAAAAGGTCATTTTATATTTTCACAAAAAATAGGAATAGGATATTATGGATAGTACAAATTATGTGTACATAAGTACACATAGAAAAATTCAGCTCACACCGACTGTGAGGCGTCCAGAGGTTGTGCGTGCAGAGGGTAGAAGGGGTAAAGGGGGCCAAGCAGGCAAAGACTTGAGCTTCCTGACAGCCTGGTGGATGAAACTGTCCTTAAGTCAGTTTCATCCTGGTCCTGGCCCACAGACTCTACAACAAGTCCACACCAATCTCCTTTTGTGTTGTCCACATTTAGGGATAGATTTTTGTCGGTGCACTACATGCCCAGGTGGCTCACCCCGCTCCTGTAGTCCGTTCTATATCCATTGCATTTTCTATATCCACCACAGTCTTGATGAAGAGGTTGGAGCTGTGCGTTGGTGTGCAGTCATGAGTCAGGAGGGAGCTCGACACACATCTTTTGGGGTACCCCGTGCTAGGGGTGATGGTGCCGGATGTGGCGCTCCAGACCTGTACTGCCTGTGGTCTCTCCATCAGGAAGTCCAGCAGCAGTTGCATTGTGAAGGACCAGTTTGTAAATCAGCTGTTGGGGGTGATGGTGTTGAATGTTGAGCTGAAGTCTATAAACAGCATTCTAACATAAGAGTCCTTAGTGTCCAGGTGTGTGAGGGCTGAGTGGAGGGCTGCGGAGATGGCATCATCAGCTGACCTGTTGGACTGATCTGCAAACTGGAAGGGGTCCAGGAAGGAAGAGACGGTAGTCATTGAAGCAGGAGGGAGACAACTACTTCAGGATGATGGTGGTGGCTTTAAAGCATGTGGGGGCAACAGCTTGGCTCAGTGAGGTGTTGATGTCCATGAAGACATCTGTGAGTTCAGCTGCGCAGTTCCTCAGTACACGATCTATGTTTATTTTAAAAGAATGAAAGGAAGAAAAGTAGAAAGGTGATTCCTGTGTGAGTGAGTATGTGTGAGGAAGGGAAATGGGGAGGGCTCTGCTGCTTGTGCTGGTGTTATAGATGGAAATAAATGTCAGCATGGAAAATGCATTTTCTCTGTTTCTCCCAGAATAATTTACATTGTGTCACATGCATTATAAAAATTAAATCAAACATACAGTAAAATGGCTGGGCAACTCCATCACCCTCAATACTGGTAAAAGATTAAAGCTTTCTGTGTGTGTGTGTGTGTGTGTGTGTGTGTGTGTGTGTGTGTGTCAAGTAATCTTAAAAATTGAATCAAATTTGTTAGACCATAGCTGGTTTAAAGCATACAGTATGGCTATTAAGAAAGTATATCTGATAGCTTTTCTACACAGCCAGAATTCTTATTGATAGCAAACAGAAAACAAAATCTAATTTGTCCTCTTGATAAACTCTGCCACCAAGTCCATAAAGTTTAGGTCATGTTGTCTTTTTGCTTTATGATGCCAGAAAATGTTGCAGTGCGAAACAAGTTGGCACTGCCCACTTAAGCACCTAGCCACTTCTATTGGACAGTCATGTTGATATAAGAAGACAGAATATTTTATACTTTATCCCAATTGATCTTGAACAGGCTTTAGTCTGTCACATCTCCTAGTCGATACATTACCCTTTTATCACTTATCTCATGTTTCATGTCTTGTGTTTCCTGTTTTATTTTGAAATTTATCTGTGTCACTGTTAACTTCCTGTTCCTGAGAAATCGTTCTGAACCATAATAAAATAAAAGCCCAATTCTAAACATCTTACAAAAGAGTTTTAGTAGACTGAATGAATTGGTAGATCTGCAGCCTGTAATAAAATGTACAGTAAGTGGTAAAATAACTCAATCTCCTTATGTCTTTTATTGTTTTTTACCTTTTATTCTCTTTTACCTCTATCTTGTTTCAGCTTGACTGTCTCTTCAGCTTTTTTTTTTTATACATACTATAATCTTTTCTTATTTATCCTTTTAGGTCTTTTGTTGTTTTTTCTCTTGCTCATTTTAGTTATTCTATTTTATCATTACTATTATTATCATTATTACTTTTTTATTTTGTCTGTTATCATTTTTATATATTGTCTTTTTATATTTACTATCACATTTTCTGCTTTCCACCCCTCTTTTTTATTGCATTTTTTTCCTACCTATTTTATGATTTTATTTTGCTCCTCATGGTCTCATTTTATGTCACAGGCTTCTTGCATTGTCTGGGTTCCTTATGACATATGTAAATGGCCTTCGATTCTGAGGCCTTGTTTTAACTGAGCTTTTGTTTTAATTTCCATGTGCTGATGTTGTGTGCTTTGTGACTATTTGTCAA